GGTGTCCCTGCCCATGCAGGGGGTTGGAACTGGATGATTTTGAAGGTCCCTTCCAACCCAAACTATTCTATCATTCTATGGCAATGCCTATAGCTCTGCCCACAAGCTTTCAGATTCAGTATCTCCCATGTGTCAGTGCTTGCAGCAGTCTGCTGATGGCTTCAAAACCAGTCAGCCTACCACTATTTAATATCTGAATTTCTTTTGCTAGTCTCTATCTCACCCAGAGGCTGTTCATCTGTAGTTGTTTTTAAAATGTTTTTCCTCCTTCGTCACAAGCTGGCCTGGGTTGATTCTTTTAGCCTATTGCCAGACAGTGGAGAGCAGGAAAAATATTGCTGGAAATTAAAAACAGTTACTTCTGTCCTTGGTGTGTTACCCTGTCAGATATAATGTTGCATAAAATCTGTCATCTGTAAGAACTTGTTTCTGCTGTAGAAGTTAGTTCAGTGTTTAGCATAGTGCAATCAGATCCAGTGTTTCAGTCAGAGGTGGTGTTGGTTAATCACATCGGGGTGTTTATGCCCCTTGTGAGTTCAGCATTGCTTGAGGGTGTAACACTTAACATGTAAGACCATTAACCACATAACTTGTGAACAAGTGATCCATGGGACAGCAACGTGCCTCCTGGCTAACAGAGCCAATAATACCCTGGGGTGCATTAAGAGCAGTGTGGCCAGCAGATCAAGGGAGGTTCTCCTCCCCCTCTACTCTGCCCTGGTGAGACCACATCTGGAGGATTGTGTCCAGTTCTGGGCTCCCCAGTTCCAGAGGGACAGGGATTTGCTGGGAAGAGTCCAAGGGAGGCTACAAGGATGATGAGGGGACTGGAACATCTCCCTGATGAGGAAAGGCTGAGAGACCTGGGGCTGTTTAGTCTGGATAAGAGAAGGCTGAGAGGGGACCTGATGAATGTCTATCAATATCTGCAGGGTGGGTGTCAAGAATGGGCCAGTCTCTGTTCAGTGGTGCCTGGGACAGGATGAGGGGAAACGGCCCCAAGTGACAACACAGGAAGTTGCACCTCAACATGAGGAGAAAGTTCTTTCCTGGGAGGGTGACAGAGCCCTGAGACAGGCTGCCCAGAGAGGTTGTGGAGTCTCCTTCTCTGGAGACTTTCCAGACCCATCTGGACACGTTCCTGTGTGACCTGCCCTGGGTGTTCCTGCTGCAGCAGGGGGGTTGGACTCAATGGCCATCAGAGGTCCCTTCCAACCCCTGTGATTCTATAAAAATTGTTCCATATTTCCTGTTGTTCAGCATTGCTAGTGTCTTACTGTAATGAATTTTCCAAAAACATGCAGTGGTACTTGCCTAAAATTAATGATGCTGCTGGTTTTATACTCTTTTAAGCAATTATACCCAGTGCTTCTCTGAGTTAGTTGCTAAAATAATGACCTGAGATGTTAAAGATGTGATTCTAAAGTATAAGAAGTTTCTGACTTGAGATATTATGTGAAGTGCATCTTGACAGAGCAGTTGCCTGATCCAGCCTCTCCCATTTCTGATTCCATGGACAGCTTTTTCCTCTCCCATTCATTATCACATAACATCCCCCTGGCAACTCGAGAAGTTGCTTACATGGAAAAGAAATGGTAGGAAAGTATTTCTGTATTTTTAGCTTTCTTATAACACAATGTAGCAGCTGGAAACAAGGACAAGAGCCAGCACAACATGAAGTGCCAGCTCTCCATGGGCCACCAGAAAGTGTTCAGCAGACCACAATGTCAGAACCAGTGAATTGACTTAAGAGATAATAAGCATGAAATAAAATAAAAAAGAAACCCCAAACAAAACAAACTCTCAAGTTCCCAGAGCTGCTCCTTGAATGTCAGAAGAATAAAATAGGAATTGTGATTTTTTTTTAATAATATGGTGTTCTCTGGGGTTGGTGGAGGAAGTAGATGATGGTAGTAATTAGATGCAATGAAAATCACTTTGGCTTTAATTCTTCCTCAGTCAATATTGACTGTTGCTGCAGCATTGAGCAATTCTGGATGCTGAAAGTTTCCTAAATAGGGAAGCAGGTTGTGGAGCTAGGAGTGGATTTGAACAAAGTGCTGAAAGATAGGTTAGATCTCTTCTGTTTGGTGGGGTCTTTGTGGTTGGGTTGTCTTCTGATATTTAATGATTTTGACCAACTTCTTTAGCCCCATCTCCTGGTGTTCTTTCCATTTTTACAGCAAGGGAGCAGGATGGTTATTTTGGAAATGTGAAAAATGACAGGAAGGGATCAAGATGATCCTTTGAGGATCTTCACATCTACCAAATTCTTACTATTTCTTTTCAGTTTTGAAAGCAGCATCTCAGCTCTGTGCACTTTGCAAGATAAGTTTCCAAAGCAATTCAACTCCTTGATAAGTTGCTAATGATGAGTGATAGAACTGGAGTTGGGAGTATGGAGGCAAATGAGGAAAGGACTGGCTTTGTCACCAAACTCCAGTGAGGACAGAAATGGGCCTGCCCAAAAAGGCTGTGCCAGCTTATGCTAAAACTTAATAAAGGAAAACTTGAAGTTCTATTATGAATACGATTGTATTTTGCAACTGCTTTAAGAAAAAAAAAAAAAATAGAAAAAAATGTCTTCTTTTCCCAGAAAGAGATTTGAAAGAAGTAACACCCATTTCTTCTGGGTTTAGCTCCTAAGCTCAGAGGGTTTATCTTCCAAACCTTTACACTCAAGGTTGGAAAGTAAGACGTGTTTTGTGGAAGAATTACGTTTTATAGAATCATAGGGTGGTTTGGGTTGCAAGGGACCCTAAAGATCAACTAGTCCCAACCCCCCTGCATGGGCAGGGACACCTCCCACCAGCCCAGGTTGCTCCAAGCCCCATCCAACATGCCCTTCAACACTGCCAGGGATGGGGCAGCCACAGCTTCTCTGGGCAACCTGGGCCAGGGTCTCACCACCCTCACAGAATTTCCTCCTCATGTCTCACCTCAATCTCCCCTCTGCCAGTTTTAATCCATCCCCCCTTGTCCTCTTGCTACAAGCCCTTGTCCCAAGCCCCTCCCCAGCTTTCCTGGAGCCCCTTCAGGCACTGGAAGGTGCTCTAAGGTCTCCCTGGAGCCTTCTCTTCTCCAGGCTGAACACCCCAACTCTCCCAGCCTGTCTCCAGAGCAGAGCTGCTCCAGCCCTCTCATCATCTCCATGGTCTCCTCTGGACTCACTCCAGGAGCTCCATGTCCTTCTTGTGTCAGGGCCTCCGGAATTGGACTCAGTACTCCAGCTTAATTACTTGAATAAACATCCCAAATGTTTGTTGATAGACAAACTTGCAATAATTATATGCAGTGCTGGGAGGTCAGCTGGCTATAAATTTGAGTGTTCTATAATGAGTCAATTTTTCAAGTATCCTCTGCTCTCCTCCCCATCTTTTGGTTTTAAAATGTCTTTCTCACATTATCCTATAAAGAAGTGCATTTAAACTCTTCTCCACGGAGGCACAAACTTGAACCTTGTTTGTAATTTGTCTTCTAGCAGAGGCCAGAGCCTTAGGCTGAGATTTCTATAGGTTTGTGTTGTGGCTGCCCCATCCCTGGAGGTGTTGAAGGCCAGGTTGGATGAGGCTTGTGCAGCCTGGTCTGGTGGGAGGTGTCCCTGCTCATAGCAGGGAGGTTGGAACCTGATGAGCTTTAAGGTCCCTTTCAATCTTAACCTTTCTTGGATTCTATGGTTTTAGAGATCTCCAGATTATCTGTTCCAAAAAGACATCCCTTGTATTGAAAATTGAACCTGTTCTCTCTCCTCTTCCTGACATAGAATTGCATGACTAGGGAAAAAAGAAGTTGTGTTGGGGAAGTTTGTGGAAGAGAAGGAAAAATATGGATCTCTTAATTTTGTTTTAAAGGTGAAACTGTCTGTGTATTTACCATAAATAATCAGCAAAATTTTACTGTTTCTCTAATTGACACAAATTCTCACAATGTGGTTCTGTGTGGAATAGACATCATCTTGTATTAGGGAGTTAAAATTAAAATAGGTTGGAAGTATTTTTCAGAGAACAGTAAATGCTGGAGATGGAATAAGTGATCCAAATACATCATTGTTGAAGAGACTGTTGTAGGGTTAAGGATTGTTAACTTAATCACTTATAATTAGCACCAAAGAGATAGAATTGGGTAATTAAGAGGTTTTTTTCTAGACCCCCCCAATACCAGCTTGCGACAACTTTGGGTCATGATACTGCTTCATCCCTTCATCCTTTAGACAGTTGAGTTGTTTTTTCTTAAAACTTGTAGCTCATCTTTGCCCCAGAGTTGTAGAAAGCTTTATAAAAACCTCTGTGATTTGCATTTCCCTTGGGATATATATTAGAATGACAAAAGGAAAGGAGGAAATGAAATTTAAATTGAAATTTTAAGTTTTATTCCATGTTTTTAGTGATGCAGCTTAGTCACGGCTACCTATGGCTTTAACAGGAATTTTCATAAGGAGATCTCCTTCCTTTTATTCTGGTTTTCCATGAGGTGCCAGTAAAGCTGAATCTGCAGTTTGATTCTGGGCACTTTACTTTTTATATCAGTGTATATTCTTGGTGTATTGAGGTAATTCTGACTTTAGATCTTAAAATAAGATGTTGAAGATGATCTTTTGAGGGGCTGCAACATTACTTTTGTTTAATTTGCTAAAAAATGGAAATATGGCTTAATTTTGAAATTTAGATAAATCTGAAACCAGACATCAAATATTCAAATATTTGGAACATGTGGAATACAGTTAGAAATGCTGCCAGGCTCTCTCTTTGTCCTTCTAAACTCTTTCTCTATTTAGCACTTTATTCTGCTTTTAATGATCAGAAACTGTTTTCTGAACAAATGTCTCTTCTCTGGAGTAGATGGGGTGCACCAACTAATAGAATCATGGAATGGTGAAGGTTGGAAGGGACCTTAAAGACAAGCAGGTTCCAACCTCCCTGCTATGAGCAGGGACACCTCCCACCAGCCCAGGTTGCTCCAA